CTGCCTCCAGAGATAAGGCTCTTAACCAGTATGCTTTCCAGCAGCCACACATAGGAAAATCTGGAATGACGTGCACCAAATTGCCCACAATGAGCATAGCCCAGGAGTGAGATTGGAGGGAGCTGTATTTCTTATATGTCTTTGTATGTCTCTGTACTGTTTAAATTTTTAAAAACTGCCATGTGCTAATTTTGTAGTTGAAAAACAGAAAACAACAAAGCCCCCACGAACACAAAAACTCTGCTAAGAGACACAAACATTTGAGGAGAATCAACTGTACAGCTTGCCCTTCCACTCCTCTCCTTGTCTCAAGAGGTGTAGGCATGGAATAGGGGATACAGGAAAAAAGGTTCTGCGACCACAGAAGTCTGAAAAACACTGGGTTAGACAAAATCAAACAGCCACCTTCTCTGGGGAGACTTTCAGAGCTTCAACAAGCTAATGCTGATAGTGAAGTTAATGTGGGACATTTTGTAGCTTAGACCATGTTGATTTTGCCCCAGACCGTTTTCTTTCCAGGTGCCTCATGGGACTAGCGTTCTTTAGAACAAGCATTGGAAATGCAGCTCCAGGTGCTTTCACTATTCTTTTTTTTTTTTTTTTTTGTGGTACACGGGCCTCTCACTGTCGTGGCCTCTCCCGTTGCAGAGCACAGGCTCCGGATGAGCAGGCCGAGCGGCCATGGCTCACGAGCCCAGTCGCTCTGCGGCATGTGGGATCTTCCCGGACCGGGGCACGAACCCGTGTCCCCTGCATCGGCAGGTGGACTCTCAACCACTGCGCCACCTGGGAAGCCCTCCAGGTGCTTTCAAACCAACACCTGGATGGTATCTTTGTCCCACCTGCCCCCATCCCACCCACATACTCAGCTCCCCTCAGCATCGCTTTCACTACGTTGAGCTTGGCCTTGAAGCCATCAGCTTGTGGGTGTGTGGATGGATTTGTAAGATCCAGTGTATGATGTATCTGTGGTCCCTGCCTCTGCCTCTGAACATACATGCACACAAACATTTTCCAATGATGATATGAATGGTGTTTTGGCTAGGGAGGGAGGGTTCATGTGTGTGTCTGTGTGAAGCTGTGTGTGAGACCCTCCTCTAAAACAGACCCTGTGGCCCAATCTAGAGTTCTCACACCCACTAGTACACACAGGAAACAAGCTCATTTGCAAAGCCACACCACAAGTGTGAGGGAATGGGTGGCTCACTGGCCTGCCCAAGGTGCTGAGTAGGAGTAATTCTGGTGCAGACATCCCCCCCACCCTTTGGTGCACAATTTGCAGAATGGGGTGCCTAACCTCTTTAAGCACCTACTGCATGCCAGAAACTACCCAGGGCACATCACAGCCATTATTTTCTCTTTGATTCCCCACAGGCACTCTGTAAGGAGGGATTTATTATTGCCTCTTTACCAATAAGTAAACTAGAGTTCGGAGAAATGAAGCCATTTGTTCAAGGAAATGGCAGAACTGGAACTGTGCCTGGGTCCACCTGGCTCTGAAATGCATGTCCCTCACGCTACACCAAACCCGCTGGCTCTCTTGTGTTTGGTCTTGCCCTGAGGCCTCTGCCCTCCTGGGACCCAAGAAACAACCCAGGGACAGTGACCTTGGCTTCATGTCCTAGGTACTCTGCAGAATGGGCCTTTATCCTTCTCAGAACTGCCTTGATTCTTCCAGGAAGCCTCCTGGATCACCTAAGGGAAGACTTCTCCCGTCCTCTGAACCCTCCGCCTACTCTCTTGCTCCATCACTTGGCCTTTTTTCCCTTAGAGAAGAATCTCTGTCCCTGAGCCCTGAGGGTGAGGGACCCTGAGTCATCTATCAGCACAGGCTGGGTGGGAGAGGGGACGGCTTATGCCGGTCCAGAGTCTGGTTGAGGGTAGGGAGACCCAGCATGTTTTTCAGGCCCCACAAGAGGCTGCAGGCCTTGGAGCTGGGGACAAAAGAAAGGCAGGAACATGCTGACTCGGTGGAAACTGTTTCAAGAAAAACTCCAAAGGCGGAGAGGGAGGCAGGGGAAACCTGCAAAGTGTGGCTCAGGTGGGGATTTGCCCCATAAACAGCAGGCTGAGAGCTAGAAAGTGAGGGGGTGGGCAGGGAGCTGACTCTGCTTCCCTGGGCTGTCACCACCTTCCTGGGGTTTGAAGCAGGAATCAGCAGGACCCACTGGCCCTACACAGACAGCAGCAGTGGGAGGGGGGCTAGAGCGGGAGGGAGCAAAGGGACGAGGGGAGGACTTCCTGCCGACACAATGGCAACTTTCCAGATGGAAGTCCACGCGGTCCTTGCCCGGGGCCAACTGCACCCCTGTCCGGGATAAAAATAGCCTTTCCTCTTCCCGTCTCCCATCATTCTCTCACCCCCTAACTTCCCAGAGTCCGGTCAGATACTTCCACCCGGGAGGCCCCATGCCAGATGATAAATATCCCTTCACATGCCCATCCGTTCCCAAAGGAAGACTCCTCCTTCTCTCAAAAAATGTTGGTCACTGAGGCTAAAATCACTTCTCACGTGTCCATCTGGATGCTCTGGGCGACTCCTCTCTCTCTCAGGAGAGTCTTGTCATTGGGGTCAGCCCCAGCAACCAGAAGTATTCTTGGGACCACTGACTCAAGCCTGCCCATCACCTTGCTCCATAGGGGGAGGTGTGTCACACCCTAGGCCATCACCCTCTCTCAGGGCCATCACCCTCTCTGCCTCTGCCTTGCTGACAGACTGCAGGGAGGGAGTGCTTTACCCCAGGCTGGGCCTCAGGAGGCTCATCCATCATGGGATGAGGGACTGGATTAAGGGATTTCTGAAGGCCTTTTTAGTACCTGACAATCCATGTGCCAGATCCCCAAGAAAAATGCTCCCAGTGAGGTGGGGCCTGATGGCAGGCAGTGTGACAGAGGCAAGAGGTAACAACTACGCAGGAAAGAGGTGATCCGGCTGTTCTGCCTGTCTTCCACCTGACCTCCAGCCAGGTTCTTCTGTCCCCCAGCCTGAAGGGCTGCTGCATACCTGCGGAGCCTGGTCCCAGGCCCAGCTGCAGCCCTCGGCTATCAGGCCCCCCACCGCAGCCCCTAGACCCCTGTTCCCAGTACTCCTTACCTGCCCAGCCCAGGAGCCCTCTGGCCCCATTCACATGGTCTTCCTGGCCTAGCCTGGCTGCCCAGACACAGCTTCAGCTCCCCTCTCCGTCGTAGCCACTGCGTGTCTCCCCGCGCCCACGTCCCACCCTGACTTCCTGCCGCCTCCTGAGGGCCCCAGCAGCACAACCACAGGCCTCCAGCACCCCAAGCTTCCTGCTGCCATAGCCCCCCGCTTCTCAGCCCTCAGGGGTCCTATACATCTCCAGTCCAGGCCCTACTCACCCTGAGGGTGGCACTTGGAGGTGAGGGAGGATATTTGACAGAACTTCCCCCCGCCCTCCCAGGGTGCACCTGGACAAGAGATTCAAGGGCAGCCTTGAAACCCCACTGAGCAGGAGGCAAACAGACGCCCACTCAGCTTTCAGTGAAGGGCAAGTAGCACTGCTGTCACAGTCTGAGAGCTGGGTGACCCTTTCATTACAGTCGGAGGGCAAAACATCACTTCAGAGTCAGAGGAGAGGACAGCATCCCTGTAACATCACTGGAGAGCAGACACCCGTGTTCCAGTCAGATAGATACCAGGCTCACACAGCTGCTAGACACAGCCATGCCATCTCAGGGCACAGGACAATAGTTTATTATATGCAGAGGGTAGGCTAACACCCCTCTTACGGACAGAACACTGGACAACAGGCTGTTTAAGAAAGCGGGCAGAACAACCTCTTGTCTTTAAAGGGGGCAGAGTAACAGCCTCTGTCGTGGGCAGAGGGTAGGACAACCCCCCCTAATTATAGTTGGAGAGTAGGGCAACCCTTCTAACCAGGTAGAGGCGAGACCACAGCTCCTGTCAGAGGCACAGGGCCTGATACCACCTCCTGCAACAGGTGGGAGACAGAACAGACACTCCTGCCCAGGCACCCAGGTGCAGGCAGCAGCCTGGCTGCTCCTTCTGTTATAGGCAGGAGGCGGGGACCTTGTCACAGCCGCAATCAGGTCAACAATCTCCCTTTCTTCAGGGGCCAGGCTGAGGGTGACACCCGTCAGAGGCTGAGGGCCAGGTCACCAGCGTTATGAAGAACTCTAGGTGGCCTCTCTCAGGCCCAAGGGCTGGGCCTTGATCCCACCCGGCGGAAAGCATAAACATGTTGCCACCGCCTAAGCCTGCCCTGGGGGAGCGGGCTGGGGGAGAAGAGCCCACAGAGCATCGTTGGGGTTTGCGAGGCTGTGTGCACCTCAGCTGCGGAGGGAAGGGGGAGACAGGAAATGGGTGGGGGGAAGAGGAAGCCTGAGCTGGAAAGTCAGACAAAGAGGGTAACACAGAAACAAAAGCCGAGAAATACAAAAACCAAAAAAACAAAAACCTACCGAATGACACAGAGCCCAGAGTCCCAGCTGCGGGCCCCAGCTCCCCTTGCTGTGAACCTGAGCACTTCACAGTCCATCTCTGGGCCTCAGCGCAACAGCAAGAACACCACTGGGGCTAATACATAATAATGCACATTTATTGAGGGCTTACAGTGCATTATCTCACTTCAGATGTATCCAACTACTTGTGGAGTGAGAATTAGCATTTCCATTTTAAAGACAAAACAGATGCAGGGGTTAAGGGACCTCCTCAGAGTCTCATATCAATAGAAATCAGCGGCGGAGCTGCCATTGAACCCGGGTCTACCAGATCCTGCGTTCTTCAGCTGCCCATTTACCTAAGTCACCTTCCATGGGGGTGATTTAGAATTTTAAGTTCTTTTCCAGTTCTGATCTTGATAAGATAGAGCAACAGAAGTGGAGCTGTGGGGAAGATGGGGATCCGTCTGTCCATCTCCACCCCCAAGGTCAGCCTTCTCTCCGGCAGTAGAATCCCTGGTCCCAGCAACAAGTGACATACAGCCACCTTGGGCCTGAATAAATGACTGCAGAGACCTTGATGGGAAGCAGAGGTTTATTGAGGAGCCTGGGAGTCTGTGAACTCCTCCCCTTCCTCCACACCGTCCCCCCTCCCGGATCTGGGGCAGCAGGGGCAACAGGATGCAGGGCCTTTAAGCTCCCAGAGCTCTGAGCATCTCCCGGACTCTCCCCCCACCGGTCTCCAGGTGCTGGCTCCTCTGGGGCACCCCTCCTTTCCTTCCTCCCAGGTGGGCTGGGGAATGGGTAGCGGGTGGCGAGGCAGGCACGCGGGTGCCCCTCAGCAGAGGGTGAAGCGCCGGGCGCTGATGTTCATGCGCGTGAGGCCCAGGTGCCGCAGTGGCGGGGCCAGGGCCAGGCCGGCTCCCGGCTCCAGCTCCAGCTCCATCTCGGCCTCGTTCAGCAGCTCTTGGTGCAGGTGACAGACTTGGTCCACCTTCAGCCGGTGCAGCTGGGCCCGCAGCCGAAGCAGCTGCCCTGCCAGCTGCCGGTCCTGTGCCTGCATCTCCCGCTGCGGCCGAGAGTGCGGCCGAGAGGGGGCGTGAGCCTGCTGAACCTCCCATTTTTCCCTCCTGGTCAACACCCTGGGTCTCTGCACTGGCTATGTCCTCCCCACACCCTCACACCCCAGCTCTATCCATCCCATCTCATAGATCTTGCTCTAAAACCAAGCTAAACAAATACAGGTGCCTGGGGCCCAATCCTAAATCAACTAAATGGAATCTCCAATTTGGAGGCTGGACAGTTTTATATTTGCACATATTGGATTGAACCACCTATTCAACACTGGCCTCTTGCACAGCGTGGTCAGTACCTCCTTTGTATCTTTGGGGTATAGCAATTCCCAGAGTATGGGAGGCCATGCCTTCCCCAGCTATAACTGGTTGCCCCACAAGGGCAGACTCTGTCTCCTGAGCCACAGGACCTCAAGGTCAGTGGATTGGATGGACTCCTTCAGCAAGGCTCCCCGAATAAAACACTGGACAAGTCCATGCCTGGCTCCTCAGCCCTGGGGCAAAGCCACAGGAGTGGGCATTTGCTAGAGGCAGGGTCATTCTCATCCCCTCCCCATACCCAGTGTCTTGTGCCCCAAGGACTGCCCTCAAGGCCCTCTGCAAGGCTGCCCTCCCCACCAGACTCACCAGCTCCCGTCGGAGCCACTCAAGGGCAGAGTCCATTGAGTCAAAGCCGCAAATGGTCCCAGGTCCCCCGGGCTCAGGTCTGGCTTGGGCCCTGCGCCAGGCCTGGCTCTGGACCTGGGCCGTCCACTCCAGATATGAGGGCCGCCGTGTCTGCAGCTGCAGTTTGGCCGTCAGCGCCTTTACAGAGTCCAGGCTCTCTTCTTCATCCTCCTCATGTTCTTCACCCACTGCCTGGAATTTCAGTGGCTCCATGGACATGGCTGGGGTTGAGGGACAGGGCAAGTCTGCAGCTCTGGGATTAAGGAAAGGCTGGCGATATTACCCAGGAAGAGATGGCAGAAGCTAAGCGTGAAAGAAATGTGCAGGGAGTGTGCGCTGGTGAATGTTCAAGGTGGGTCAGGGAGGCTTGAGTGTGTCGGGGTGGGTAGGTAGATGGGTGTGGGAGGCTGAGTGTGCAAGGGCTGGGATTTTCCTACACTGCTAACCCGGGAGCCACGTGATGCCTGTCCGGGTGGGGGCAGGAGAAGCCCTGCTCCTCTGGCCCCTTGGATAAAATTTATTGTCTTTGCCCAGAAGGAGACACCCAGTTCCCAGAAAGGAAGTTGCTCCAGGATAAGAAAAGCATCATCCACACCAGAGTCTTGGCCCTCTTCCCAAGACCCAAGTTAAGGGATTGGGGAGGGGATAGGAGGCTGACAAGCTGCCCCCTGTCCTCACTCATGACACTGGCCCTTCAGCAAAGGAATAGGGTCCAGATCCCTGGCTCAGGAGTCAGGAGAACTGGGTTCTGGTGCTAGATCTGTGGGACCTTGGACAAGTCACTGACTCTCTGTTGGGACAGATCAATGATTTCAAGCTATATTCTAAGGAACTTTTGGTTCCCGTGGAAATCCCTCAAGGACTGTGTGCAGGGTAAGGGCACAGCTGTGGATGGGCTCCTAGACCTTCCTCTCCCTGCCCCTCCCAGGGCTTCAACCAGAACGGTTCCCTTTTTAAAACTTTGTATTGAAATATAACACACACAGAAAAATTTACATGTCATAAATACATGGCTTGCTGAATTCTCCCAAACTGAACACACTTATGTAAGTGGTACCTAGATCAAGCAAAGGAGTATTACTATCATCCAGGAAGCCTCTTTTGTGCTCCTGGCCTATCACAACTCTCCTAAGGGTAATGTAACCAAGCATAGGGCTCGCTCATGTGCCTGCAGCGCAAAAAGCCAAGCTCTGACAGGGTGTTTGCAGCAAAGTAAGGGTTTATTGCAGGGAGCCAAGCAGGGGAATAAAAGCCAAGCCTCAGCTTCACTCCAACTTGGTCTTTGAATTGTTGGGGTTTTTTTTAAAAAAAGGGAAAGAAAAACAATTTTTTAATAAATAAAAAATAAAGTAAAAAAATAAAAAAGGGGAAGAACCAGACTTCCTTGGTGGTCCAGTGGTTAAGACTCCACGCTTCCACTGCAGCAGGGACAGGTTCAATCCCTGGTGGGGGAAGTTCTGCATGCCGCGTGGTGTGACCAAAAAAACCCCCCAAAACAACAAAAAAAAAACCAGGGGAAGAACAAAGAGGCTGAGATTAGCCATCATCTTGTGACGGTTCTGTGACATTTCGTAATCGTTTCTGTGACATTTCTTGTTTTTCTTTTTTTTTTTGCTGTACGCGGTCCTCTCACTGTTGTGGCCTCTCCCGTTGCAGAACACAGGCTCCGGACACGCATGGCTCACGGGCCCAGCTGCTCCGCGGCATGTGGGATCTTCCCAGACCGGGGCACGAACTCGTGTCCCCTGCATCGGCAGGCGGACTCTCAACCACTGCGCCACCAGGGAAGCCCCTGTGACATTTCTTAATCGTTGTTTCAGGAGTCAGAATATCTCTGGTTTATGATTATCTGGCCTGGTGGTCCACAGCTAGGGGCTGATGAGCTGTTACCTCATCTTGTCTTAGAGAAACAACTTGAATTTGTATGTTAGTGATGATATCTAGAATAGCAGTTTCAGTACATTAATGATGTTATTGACAGCAGCAATTTTAGAATTCTGACTCTGTGTTTGTTTGTTTTTGTTTTTTTGGCCATGCCACAAGGCATGTGGGAGTTTAGTTCCCTACCAGCGATGGAACCCGTGCTTCCTACAGTGGAAGTGTGGAGTCTTTCTTTTTTTTTAATTCTATTTATTTTATTTTTGGCTGTGTTGGGTCTTCATTGCTGCGGGTGCGGGATTTCTCTAGTTGTTGTGGTGTGCAGGCTTCTCATTGCTGTGGCTTCTCTTTGTTGTGGAGCACGGGCACTAGGCACGCGGGCTTCAGTAGTTGTGGTACGCAGGCTCTAGAGTGCAGGCTCAGCAGTTGTGGCGCACAGGCTTAGTTGCTCTGCAACATTTGGGATCTTCCCAGACCAGGGCTCGAACCTGTGTCCCCTGAATTGGCAGGCAGATTCTTAACCACTGCGCCACCAGGGAAGCCTGGAAGCACAGAGTCTTAACCACTGGACCACCAGGGAAGTCCCTGACTCTGGTTGGTTAGTGTTCATTTAGCACAGGATTGAAGTCAGGGGGGACATAAAAGAGAGTAAAGTTTTGGATAGAGAGATTAATCATAAACTCAGTAAGGAATCTTGGTTTTAGGGGGACTTGGTTTCAGTAATACTAACCTAATTTGACAGCATAGCTTAGTTTTGCCTTTTTGTATACTTTCTAATGGTTCTCAACCTTTTTTTTTTTTTTTTTTTTTTAATTTATTTATTTTTGGCTGCTTTGGGTCTTTGTTGCTGCACGCGGGCTTCCTCTAGTGCGGTGAGCCGTGGCTACTCTGCATTGCGGTGCGCAGGCTTCCCATTGCGGTGGCTTCTCTGTTACGGAGCATGGGCTCTAGGCGCATGGGCTTCAGTAGTTGTGGCACATGGGCTCAGTAGGTGTGGCTTGAGGGCCCTAGAGCGCAGGCTCAGTAGTTGTGGTGCATGGGCTTAGTTGTTCCACGGCATGTGGGATCTTCCCAGACCAGGGCTCGAACCCCTGTCCCCTGTGTTGTCAGGCGGATTCTTAACCACTGCTCCACCAGGGAAGTCCCAGTTCTCAATCTTTAGCATGGATCAGAATCATCTGGAAAACTTGTTAAAATAGATTGCCCCATTCCCAGGGCTTCAGATTCAGTATGTTTGGGGTAGGGCCCAATAATTTGCATTTCTAACGAATTTCCATCCCAGCTGATGCTGCTGGACTGGAATTTTATAATTTATACTCTTTTATGTCTGGTTCCTTTCATAGAGCAGTTCCAACTTTATGTTATATTATGGGGGGCACCTATGATTTCATTATTTGATGGAAGGCTTTTGCACACACACGGAAGCCTGGAACCTAGTAGACCAGAAGGCTCTTTAAAGGCAGGAGTACATCTTATTTTTCTTAGTAATCAGCACTTAACACAGTGTAGTCATCAGTGTTGAAGAAATAAAAGAATACTTGGATGGATGGGTCCTCCAGCAAATAGACTTAAACTCTAGTAATTTACCAGCTTAAGTGTGTCTCTTGCCAGACTGAAAACCCTGTGAACAGAACTTTCCTCAGCCATTCTTGGGTCCCAACACCCAGTGTAGGGCCCAGCTCAGTGTACAGGCAATTCATGTTTGGGCAAAGGATGGAGTGATGAGGGATGGAGCTCCTCAGGGCAGAACTATACCAGAAGTGGCCCCCATAGAGGGCGCCCTCAGGCCGGGGCTTCCAGCTGTGGTGGGGGAGGGGTGCCTGCTACACAGCTGCTTGCATTTAAGGTGGACCAAGGGATTTCCCCCACCCAGCCTCCGATGTAGGGGAGGATGCAGACAGTTCCCATTTTCACACCCACCCTTTCCACCCCTTCCACCAGGGTACAGGAGAAGAGACGGTATTTTTCTTTATTTCTTTTTAATCGGTGAGAGTGCCAGCACCCCACAGTTAAAAAAACCAAAAATGTGAGTGCCTCCTGCGACCCAGGCAGGAGGTAAAGGGCTTTAACAAGAATATTCTCCCCATTTCACATGGGGAGAATGATGATGAAATGATGAAATTGAGGTTTCCTTAACAGGTTCTAACCCCGGGGTCTTCACTAAGAAGTGCTGGCAATAGGAGGGGGGAATTCCTGTGAAACTGTGCGATCCCTTCCTCCAAGGGGGCCTCCTTAACAGCTGTCCTGCCGGCGTCGCCAGCTGCCCAGCCAGTTCCTGTCCCTTTCGGAGCCCGCGCTCACCCCGCCTGACGCTCCTAGAGTCTGTCCTACTGCCGGGTCCCAGGCCCACCACTGGAGGAATGGAGTTCTCGGAGCTGATCCGTACGGGCCAGGCCCAAGCCGAGCTCCTGCGGGGCCCGGAGATGCCCCCGCTGCGCGGCACGCTTTGCGTCACCGGCCACCACCTGCTGCTGTCGCCAGGACCCCAGGCGACTCCAGACCTGTGGCTGCTGCTGTTGCGTAGTGTAGAACTCCATCGAGAAGCGGTGAGACGTGGCGGGGACATCCCCGTAGTCTGGGAACGCATGGTGCCCCCCCCCCCCCCCCCCCCCC